TTTCAAAATAGGAGAAGTTAATTTATTATGCATTCTTGTGAGCATTTAAATTTAGGAAAAATAATGATTTTGCTGAAATTAAAATCAAATATAGGTTTACAATCATGTATGTGCATTCATGCTACTGCATATTGTTTTTTTTTGTATTGTGTGGATTGAAATCAAATTTCAAATTGATTTGAATTTGCATTCAAAATTCGGTTGGAAAATTGGAAAAAAATAGAAAAGGATTTCTATTCTCTCTTTCGGATTTCAGCCTGCTGGCCTGTTTCTCCACGCCCGCGGCCCATTCTGTTTCTCCACGCTGGCCCATCTCCCTCGGCCTGCCTTCCCGCGGCCCGTCTTTCTCCCTGCTTGGGCTTGCGCTCGCGTGGCCTCCTATTCCCCGCATCAGTCCAGCAGCAGCACTGGCCCAGCTTCGTAGCCGGTCCAGCCGCGTCCACGTTCGCCCTCCTCCCACTGACAGCCTGGCTCCACAGGTCAGCGTCGTCATCCTCCCGTATCCACATCGGAGTTCTTACTGTCACCGACGCCGTTTGAATCCGTCTCCACTACGCCGTGTTGACATGAACCCCAAGCCAACTCTACCCTTAAATAGCAGCCTGAGCCCACGCTGCCTCCCTATCTCGCCTTAGAGCAAGCTTTCGCCCTCGCCGAGATGCCGAGCTGCCGCAGACCTAGCGCCACCGCCATTGCCGTCCGCCTGGCCAAGCACCGCGCTGCCCTTCGTCGCTTCATGCCGAGGTAAACCCTCTAGTCGTGTTCGTCGTCGTCTCCTCTAGCTTCTTGTGCTCTTGCTTCGTCAAACGGTGGTCCGTGGACCGAGTTCGCCGAGCGCCGCCCGCATCGTCTATGGCGCCACCGTGGAACCTCGCCGTTGACCCCGCCGACCGGCTAGACCTCTCTTTCTCCCTTCTGGTCTGATCTTAGCCGCCCAAATCTAATCTGACGGCCCATATCGAAGGATACCCCTTCGCCTTGTAGATTTGCAAAAGAGCCCTCATAAGTATTTAGTTGGTAACCCGTAGTCCATATCGTCTTTCCAGATTTCATTTTCTTCTTTTGAAAGCGTACTTTATTTCGGTTAAGATCTAAAATACGTTTTCACCTATTTACAGCTTTGCCACTAATCTCTTTTTAGCAATAAAATCTCCGTTTTAACTCTGATTTGATCCGTTCAACTTGAGTTAGGCTCGTAATTCCATAATCTACATGTTCATACTACTGTTAAGTATGTTTTCAACTTTTAAAATTTGAGGTTAGATTTAATCTATTACTTTACTAAAGAAAATCTTGTTTAATCCATAACTTGCGTCTGTGTGTTCGTAGCGGGACGTAGATTCATTTTCCAAACTTTTCATCTTGATTTTATATTGTTGGTGTACTGTTCTAATCTATAGCTTTTGTTTGCTATGCATGATTGCTTCTGGATGCTTGTATGTTGCTGTGATTATCGTGTCTAGACGGTGAGCAATTCGCGGGTGACCAAGAGTATTACTCTGACGTGTCGGATCAGCAGTACTTTGTTCAAGGCAAGTATAGCATGGGATCATCCTTGTTTCCTATTCACCTTAATACATTTAATTCATGTTGCATGTGTCACCTTGATAAGGATTCCCTAGAATTAAACTTATACCTTGTCACCTATGGGATATGCATTGGGTAGCTTTGCTAGTGCTCAATTAAACCATGATCTTGTAACTTGACTAATGGTATATGCAATAAACATTAAAATATGACTTTTTAGCAACTTGGACATAGGGGGCTGGAGTATTTAGCTACTTTCTAAATGCTTCAGATTCCTCTTCCTAAGGACTTATCTGTAAGCGAACATCTAGGACTTACAGTACAACTGTGAGGGCTATATAGCTCTAGCTTTAGCTCAGTATGAAGACCTTTTCTAGCTTGTTAGCGGTTACCTTTATTGGCGTAAGAATGGCTTACCGAATCAGGTATAGGACAACCTCTACTCTTATGTGTATAGCCATGATGGAATTGTGCCATTTGACAGAGGGTTCCTATATCTATTTGCCGAGTGAATCTCATGGCCCTAACTTGGTAGACGAACCTTTGAAAGGCTTAATAGTGACCCCTGCGTACTCACCTTTTAAGTGTTTTGGGAGTTGCAAACTCGGGCATATGGGTATCGCGACTCACAGTGAATGTGTACAACCCCTGCAGAGTGTAAAACTGGTATATCAGCCGTGCTCACGGTCATGAGCGGCCTTGGACCCTTATGGAATAGATGATCACTAAGAATTATTGTTTTATGCTATTCATTATTCATGTTTACATTGATCATGTGTTTTATTTTGGGAATTGAACCAACTTGTTACTACTCTTATGCTAAAATTGTGACAACTAAAAGCTGAATGCTATTAAACCTATGTCAAGCCTTTTGAGTCTCATGAACCCGATGTTACATTTGTTGAGTACGACATGTACTTACGCTTGTTTATTTTCATTATTTGGATAAAAATCCCCGATGGGTAATAGATGGCTATGGTAATGACGATTTCCCTAAGGATTACTAGACTTGTGGTCAACCAGTTGACATCCCTGTGATATGCAGCTTCCACGAGAGGTCTTTTCTTTATACTTCTGCTATATTTATGTGAAGACTATATTCTATTATTCATGATGTAATAAACACTTGTGATGATACTATTCATAATTTGTTGGCTTATGTGTGTGACTGATCTCTAGGCGCACATAAGATTTCGCATCCTATTTTATCCTTAAAATCGGGTGTGACAGATTAGTATCAGAGCCTTGTTGACTGTAGGACGCAAGCCTAGTTAGCAATGGTCGTTTTAGCTTCTTTGGCTTCACTCATTTAATGCTGCCCATCTCACCCTTGTTATTTGCTAAAGTTTTATGCTTCTTTTGCCTTACTCTGTTATGAAAATTATTGCTTCTAATCTGACTAAATCTAATTCTGTAGATGCCTCGTGCCAATAAGACCGCTTGCGTCAGCACCGGAGGCTACTACCCGCCTCGTCGGTTGTCCATGGAGCCACATGAGGAGGAGGAACCTCAGGAACAATAAGTTGATTCGCTGACACCTATACCTACGCCTAAGCCTGAAGAAGAAGAACCCGAAGAAGTAGAGGTCATCTTATTGTCTAATGATGATGAGGAGGAGGAAGACGCCGTTGAAGAGGATGAGCCGATCCCTCCCCTGGGATGGACTACGAAGGTCTGGTATAAGCTAGGGTGTGAAACCTCCGTCTCACACCACCGACTCATGGGGATTCTTTAGACCTAGTATGGTGATTGGGACGTAGCTGTGGAGTATGTCTAGAATGAGCATACGCACCCTCTGGAGGACACCTATTGGAAGACTAGGGTGTGCACACTACTTGAATCTCGCTTTTTTCTATGTGTGCGAAAACACACAGAAAAATGCGAATACCGTCAGAAAAATATTTTTCTGACGGTGTACTCTCAGAAAAATACCCACAGAAATATAACGATAGAAAAATTCAATTGTTGTGTGTGTTCGCCGTCAGAAATAATTTTTCTGTGGGTGTTACACGCATAGAAAAATTGCGTTAGCCCAGATTAAATTTAAATGTTGTGTGCGTTAATCCTCACAGAAAAAAAAGAATAGCCCGACAGAAAAATGATTTTTCTGTGGGTGTTACACGCACAGAAAAATTACCTTAGCCTAGATTAAATTTAAATGTGTGCATTAATCCCCACAGAAAAAAGAAAAAGCCCGACAGAGAAATCATTTTTCTATCGACGTTGTCCCGATAGAGTCATAGAGGCACACTCACACGAAAATATTTATTTTTCTGTCGGTCTCGGTTAACGCACAAAATAAGGGTGGTCTAACAATGCATCCAGCATTCAAATTTCATATATCAAACTACTTAATATCAAAACATATAATCGAACTGTGTTCAAGATTAATCGCAGTTTCTCAACAACAAATGTGTTTAAGCACACCATTGAAGGTGATTCTGCTATAACAGAGCAGCTCAATACAGCCAGGGAAAAGAAAGAAAGCCCATCAGCGCACACTATTGTATGAGTCGTGTAAGTACAGCTCCAGTTCTTCTGGCCAGGTAGACAGGTTCAATCTCCTACCATTACCCATGAATCTGAAAGTCACAAGGCTTCAAATTAGATAGAAGCTAGAAGCAAGCTTATCATTCCAAAAACTAATAATTTATTTACTAAAACAAAGAATAAATTCTCAGCATGAACAAGAAATGAAAGCATGAATTATCAGTAGGAAATTCAACAGCTGAAATTAGTAAGTGTTTTTGCTACAGCATCAAGTATGAAGTCATCACTGCAAATGATGTGTGGGCAGGCTTCAGGTCCTAAAGTTTATGGTCTCCAATGGCAAACTAGTGACAAAAAATGGCTATAGATGTATAGGAACCACATCAATTCATCTTGGATACGCATACGCTACATGTTTCAACACAAGCAAAAGATGGCATCATCATGCAGTACCACAGATGATGCAATCAAGGTAATATTGACACCATACCCAAAAAACAGAAAACAATGTGACGATAGTTAAACGGATGATAATACCTACGGTATGGGAAAACATAGAGGCAGCCATCATCTTCTCCTCCCGGCAGCAACAGCAGGTGCCCGTTCTGCTCCAGGTTGGCCCTGCCCTGCAGCTTCCTCTGGTATGTTGGCCACTGCCGTAACAGCATTATGTGCTTTGTGCCTACTGATTGGCTACAAAATGTCCATTTTGTTATGCATGTAACAAGTTAATCAGACCCAGCAGCAACAAGAAGAAATTTTCAGCACACATGTCAGATACATACCATGCGTTTCTGTGCTTTGTGGCTACTGCCCAGGAACAGCACGGTTTTTGGGGCCACTACGCCCAGGAACAGCAGCAAGCTTGCCACAGGTCCACACGCTGCCACTATTTTTTGGGTGAAGCACAGCACGGTTTTTTTTCTTCTTGCAAGCTGGGATCTGAAACCCGGTATTAATAGTATTATCATATTTTACCACTTTCACAACTCAATAACTGCATTCTCCAGTCCTGCTGGTATTTGGAACCCTGATCCATACCAACAAAGATAAAGGCATCGCAGCAGCTAGGGACTAGACAAGTAGACAGTGACCTCAAAGAAAACATGGGGGCTAGACAAATCCATTATCCTTTGCAGATTTTGAATTCATAAAAAAGACAATCATGAGACAAACAGAATACCTTAAATACTGTCAGCACGGAATATATTAATTTTATCAATAACAACTGTATCAGCCAAATTATCATCCCTGAAACGTCAAAACTCAGCCATGGTACTGGAATAACAATTGCATTATAATGTAAGCATTAGAACGCATAGGGCAAATGAATGAGGATATACATTGTGTCCACAAATCCATCGACAACCATTCTGACTGAAAGTGCAACATTCTCCTTGGAAAAATATGGAATTTGTGGCCCATGAGCAGATGATGAAAGCACAAACATATTAACCGATGTTTCATGTTAACCTAAGAACTTTCACAAGGGATAGATAACTAAGAAAGAAATAGTTATATTTGCTTCAGGTCAACCAAAGATGACTTCAAGAAAAGGAAATAATGGATCTTCTATATTAGCGCAGCCATATTGCGGCTGTCCAATACGTACAGAAACACTGCTAATCAAAGTATTCTAAAGATTAGCACCTACTAACCGGCTAACTCACAAGTCACAATGCCAATGCAAACTCGCCATTATGTAATCATACAGTGGTACTTGCAGCATACTTCTTTTGCACAATAACTTGGTATATTTGCTCTAGAACAACACAATATACTGAAATGGATGCCTCACTCATATCAGGCACTAAGAACTTGATATTACAACATTCATTATCGCATACGCATAATACTATAATATGCCACAACCTCTTATGTGATAAAATGGTACCAAATGAAAGCAAAATTGAGCTACATGGCCACGGCATCAACTAACACCAATAGAATTGGCAACTCCCGACCCTCCCCAAAGCACATCTCATCTCATCTCATCTCAACTCAAAGTGGAGTCCAAACAGCAGCTCCGATTGATGAGCGTCAAGCAACAGCCCGCTCCACTCAGATTAGCCTTGAAGCAACCGTCGAATCTAACCCCACACCACCTCGAGACGACCGAGCCTGAGATCCCACCCCCACCAGGTGGCGGATGGAGGCGAGCCCCGATTCGAGCCCGCGGCGGCGCAGATCCGCGCGGAACAGGGCGGACCGGGGAGAGCGACGGACGGGGAGGGGGAGGGAAAGCAAGCTACTCACTGAATCCGTCCTCGACGAGGTAGTTGAAGGTGTGGCCGTCACAGTTGTAGGTGAACTTGTTGTTGCTGGCGGGGAGCTTCTGCAGGCACTGGGCGGCGATGGTGGTGAAGTTGCCGGTGAACTTGGTGTACTCGGCCAGCACCACGGTGCCCCGCGCCACGAATGCGTAGATCAGCGACTGCTGCCCCATCGCCTCGACACGACTCGGCTCGGCTCCGGCTCACCTCCTCCTTCTCCGCCACCTACGGACTCAGCCTCCCGCTCTTCGCCGCCGCCGCCGGTGTTGCGGTGGAGCTCACTGGAAGGCGCTGGGGGCGTCGGAGTGGTCGAGAAGGAGGAGGGCCACGCACCGGAGGGGCTACGGCCGCCGGCGAGCTAGTGGCTACGGCCGTCGGTGGGCTGGAGGTAGATCTAGGCGACAGTGGACCTAGGGCAGCGAGCGGCGGCCATGGAGCTGGGGTGCCTAGCAGCGGGCGGCGAGCGACGAATGTGTAGATGGGGGTGGTCTTGTGCGGCGAGCGGCGGACTTGGAGCCGGGAGCGACGGGACTACGGGAGCGGCGGACTTGCGGAGTTCGGCCTCTGGCGGCGCATTTGGGATAGGGTTGGGGTGGCGGCCGCGGGAGGATTTACTTTTAGGCTGTTTTTGTTTTTTTTTCACTCTCTTTTCTATTCTATACCACGCGAAGGCAGGCGCCAATGACGAAAATAGGGCGCGACGAATCCATTCCTGTGTCTGTGTCATTTTTTCTGTTAGTTAAAAAAACCCCACAGAATAATTGCTATTTCTCTGTGGGTATGTATTGTTTTTCTGTGTGTATTGTCACGCACAGAAAAATAACTCAATTATTCTGTCGGTTTTTCGATATTTCTGTGGGTATTTTTTGATACCGATAGAAAAATTACAAATTTTCTGTGTGTTCTAAGAAAAACGCACAGAAAAAATAATCACCCACACAAATATTCGAGTTTCCAGTAGTGGCATCTCCATCAATGACAAATAGAAGGGCACACATCAGCTAGATTCAAACTATGCGCATCACGCTCACTGTGCTACCATGGAGGATAGCATAGAAGATGCAGCCGTTACAGCTTGCATGGGTCTCCGTGGTCGTCGATTTGAGGATATGAAGGATGACCAATATCGATTCCTCCCTCATCGGCACCCTGAATTGGAATGGGCAACGATGGACCCTCAGGGCACGTATCCAACCATCCAAGTGATGGTACACTTTGGTTGTGACACTGTCGCGAAGATTCGGCGACTGGAAGATTAGTTGAAGGCACAGCAGGAAACCCTTAAGAGGTACCGACTGGTGATAGATGAGCAAAGGGTGTGCCTCAACCTAGCAAAGATGTACGAGGAGCTTCCCTATAAGTTTCGCCTATAGGTGTTGGAGTCCCTTTTATGTAATAAAACGTTAGTAGAACGAGTCAAGTTGAGTCGAGTCTATTAGTGCGGTGTGAACATTGGTGTGCTTAGTTGATTTGTTATTATGTTTATGTGTGAGTTGGATTTTTGTAATGAGTGCTCGAACTTTGTGGGGATGTCCGCAAGTTCCATAGTTAAAAATATTAAAGTTTGAGTTAATAAATAAACAGTTGGGTTTGGTACATCATGTTCTCTCGGATCTGTTTTTCAGAGCAGTCTGTCCTTATCACAATGCCAATAAAAATCTACTAAACAAAAAATTATGAAATTTTTATGTAAACAACTAGACTTACGTATATTTCCAATGCCTCTAGAATCACCCCCTATATCTAACCTGGTTTGTGAGATATGGCTGTTTCAAATTCAAGTTTCTGCGCAGTCTGGAATCTGGAACAGTTTTGGTTGTGTTCTATTTTTAAGTAACCTAACGACAGAATCTAGGAATGTGGTCTGAATAAAAGTTGTAGATAATTTCTTAAGATTTCCAACCATATAAAGTATGCCTCTTTTGGATATCTGAAACTTGAGATATGACTGTTTTACCAGGCTGTTGATGTTGGAACTCGTCCAGAAAATTTTTAAAATGTATTCTAACTTGGAAATCTCTAAATTTTGAATATTTATGTTGAATGTCTGATGTCCAGAAGAGGAAGAGGCCGAGGTTGTGGAGGTGTTCCACCACATCCACCACCAACACCACCACCGACTATTGAGCAACTCTTCGCAGTGCAGACACAGCTTATGCAAGCTCTGGTACAGAATCAGCAGAATCAACAGATTGGTGGAGCACCGCGTGATAAACGTGGTGAATTTTTGAAGGGCCGTGCCCCAGTGTTTTCTCATGCCACTGATCCATTGGAAGCAGATGATTGGCTTCGTGTAGTGGAGAAGCAACTCAACATAGTGCAGTGCGATGACCAGCAGAAGGTGTTGTACGCGTCAGGACAACTTCAGGGAGAACCCCAAGACTGGTGGGAGGCATTTGAGTATGGACGTCCCACCAATGCTCCTCCTGTCACCTGACAGGAGTTTAGAGAGAACTTCAGATCCTACCACATACCTGAGGGATTGATAGAGCTCAAGCAGGAGGAATTCAGAGCTCTGAAGCATTGATCCATGTCCGTAGCTGAGTATCGTGACAAATTTGCTCAGTTGTCACGTTATGCTCCGAATGAGGTGGTTGATGATGTTGATAAGCAATGCCGCTTTCTCAAGGGTTTGTATGATGGTCTGTAACTCTAGCTTATGTCCAATACATACCCCAATTTTCAAACACTGGTGAACCGCGCCATTGTTATTAACAACAAGCGCAAAGAGATGGAGGCCAAGAAGAGGAGGCTTCAGGGATAGGCCTCTAGAAGCAATACTTGTCCGCACACCAATCCTCAACATGGCTTCCAGCAGAGGTTCCAAGGACCACCTAATCAGTGGAATCATGGTCAGTACCCTCAGCGCAACCTAAACCAGCAGCAGAATGGCAATCAACGTCCTCAGCAGCAGAGTGGCCAGTAGACACCACGCCAGGGAATGCCTGACAATTGTCCCATGAAGACCAGTGCACCTAGCACCCCCAATGTATGCTATCGTTGTGGAGAAGTTGGGCATTATGCTAACCATTGCCCTAGGAAGCAGAATCAGCAAACACCCCAGGGTCAGCACAGTAATTAGAAGGGAACGCCTTAGAAGCCTGCACCCAACATAGGAAAGGTGAACCATGTGTCTGCCGAGACGGCGCTTGCAGAACCAGAAGTCATGCTCAGTACGTTCAATGTCAACTCAACCTCTACCACTATTCTTTTTTATTCTAGAGCTTCGCATTCATTCATATCACAAGCATTTGTTAGAAACCATAGCATACCCTTATGTGCCATGCAAAATCCCATATTAGTAAACTCACCAGGGGCAAGTATGCAAGCTTCATATCGTTGCCTTCCGACTACTCTATCCTTAAGGGGGGTAGATTTTAAAGTGAGCCCCATTGTGTTGAGAACATCTGGTATTGTTGTGATTCTGGGTATGGACTGGATGATGCAACAACGGGCAGTCATTCAGTGTCAAGAGAAGGTAGTTGTTGTGACCACACTGAATGGGAATAGAATCAGTGTGGATGTTGTAGTACAAGCACAGCCAACAACCACAGTGAACCAGCTTGATGATCGCGTCAACAAGGAGGACCCAGTAGTGGATGAGTTTCCAGATGTGTTCCCCGATGACTTGCTAGGTATGCCACCTGACCGTGACATTGAGTTTATTATTGAATTATTACCTAGAACTGCACCTATAGCTAAGCGTCCATATAGAATGGGGGTTAATGAACTAGAGGAACTTAAGAAATAAATAAAGGAGTTACAAGAAAAAGGTTTCATTCATCCTAGTTCGTCACATTGGGGAGCACCGGTTATATTTGTGGACAAGAAGGATGGTACCCAGAGAATGTGTGTTGATTATCGATCACTCAATGAGGTTACTATCAAGAACAAGTATCCGTTGCCCAGAATTGATGACTTGTTTGATCAGTTGACAGGTGCTTGTGTTTTCTCTAAGATTGATCTTCGTTCTGGCTATCATCTTGTATGAGTGCACCGTTATGTCCTTTGGTTTGACCAATGCACCTGCATACTTTATGTACTTGATGAATAAGGTGTTCATGGAATTTTTGGATAAGTTTGTGGTGGTATTCATTGATGATATATTGGTATTCTCCAAAATGGAAGAAGAGCATGCTGAACATCTAAGGTTGGTCTTGCAAAAGCTCAGAGAACACAAGTTGTATGCTAAGCGAAGCAAGTGTGAATTCTAATTGAAGGAAGTTTCTTTCCTAGGCCATGTTGTCTCTAATGGTGGCATAGCAGTAGATCCAAGCAAGGTGAGAGATGTGTTGAATTGAAAACCACCAACTGATGTGGGAGAGATTCACAGTTTCTTGGGATTGGCTGGATACTACAGAAGGTTCATAGAAGGTTTCTCTAAACTTGCCAAGCCTATGACAACTTTGTTGGAGAAAAATGCCAAGTTTGTGTGGTCCAAGAAGTGCCAGGCTAACTTTGAAGAATTGAAGAAGAGGTTGACTATAGCCCCAGTGTTAGTTTTGTCAGATTTGAACAAGAGCTTTTCTATCTATTGTGATACATCTCGTCAAGGACTCGGATGTGTTCTTATGCAAGAAGGCAGAGTAGTGGCTTATGCATCCCGACAGTTGAGAAAAGCATGAGTTAAACTATCCTACTCATCATTTGGAGTTAGCAGCAGTGGTCCATGCTCTGAAAATATGGAGACACTATCTTATCGGACATAAGAGTGATATTTATACTGGTCACAAGAGTCTGAAGTACATTTTTAATCAGATGGATCTGAATATGAGACAGCGTCGATGGTTAGAGCTGATTAAAGATTATGATCTGGAGGTACACTATCATCCTAGGAAGGCGAATGTTGTTGCCGATGCTCTTAGCAGGAAGAGTTATGCCAATGAGGTGCAAGTGGCACCTGTGGCAAGTGAGTTGTGTCCTGAATTTGAGCGACTAAATTTGGGCTTTGTCACTAATGTAGTGGAGGCCAGTTACAGCATGCAAAGTTGAAAGAAATAGCGGAAAACATAGTGATTGGTAAGGCACCAGGATTCCATATTGTGGGGGGTACGACCCTGGATACCCACGGCAGGCCACATGGGCTACGCCCCTAGGGGCAGCCCAGCCCACAAGATGAAGCCTTGTGGGGCACGACGCTAGCTGCTCAGCACCTCTCGTAAGGCACCGGGAA